TTTCACATTTGGGAGATGCTTTTTGAAAACCAGTTTTTATAACATGTGTATTATCATGTCTACAATTATTTCTCAAAGTTTCATAATTTTTAGAATTTGTTTGCTATTTTTTAAGGTGGTTTGAAAATTAGGTTTCTACTTTAAACAGGCTGTATACTTATTATCAGTCGACTAGTCAGTCGACTGATGCAATCAGTCGACCGATCAGTCAACTGATAAAAGTGCCTATAGTTATCAAATATTTCTATTTTGTTTTAGTTGACTGACCAGTCGACTGATGATCCATCAGTCAACTGATAAATGTCGTCAGTCGACTGATGAGTTGAAAAATATCTACAACAGTCAGCTCATCAGTCGACTGATGAAACCCGCCAGTCGACTGATGACCTGTAACGATTACATTTTCAAGCTTGGTTATTTTATCATTTTTACTGGTTTTGCTTGGGTTTTATGCATTGGTTCTTCATCCTATATATAGCCCATTCTATTTTTTTTTGAACCAAGAAAAAGAAAGTTTAAAAATAAGTTTTAAGGGTGGTTTAAATTTGTTTAAGTGTTTATAAAATTGGTTTTGTGAAGATTGTTTCACAAGAAGAGGAGATCATCTTTGGTTTAAGCTTTCTATTTTACATCTCCATCTCTCTTGTTCTAGAGAAGTTTTCTCAACTCTTTTATCTAGCTTGTTTACATTTACATCGTCATATTTATATTTGCTAGACTTTAATTGAGTTTGATTTTATTTTCTCATTGCTTGCACACACAACCATTGAGCTTAAGTATTTTCACATATTGTATAATTTGGGGTTGTGGTGAGTGTAACCTTGAGAGTGAGCCTAAATTGTGTTCTCATCTATTATAGAGAACAAATCTTGTAATTGAGCCTTATTGTGAGAGTATCACTTTGTAATACATATTTACACCAAGAGGAGTATGTGGTGAGGACGTAGTCGATATCAAGAGGAGTGGCGTCGATAGTAAAGCCTAGAGAGAGGTAGTAAAGCCGCGCACTTGAGGGAGGCGATTCATGAGGACCAACACTTGAGGTTGTAGTTTGTGTATGTATATTGTGAGAGATTTGTGGAGTTTTCGGTGAGCTAGAAAACCGAGTGTGTAGAGAAGTTTCGGCTTCCAAACCGGGTGTGTCGATAGTGGAGTTCTCCTCGGGAGTGGGGAGCGGAGACGTAGGACGGAAGGTCCAAACTCCGTGATCATATTATTGTATTTGGATTGTTCTTTGTGTCCACTATTTGTTTATATTATTTCTTGTTTATTTTTCCCTTTGCATATATATCCTTGCATATATCTTATTGAATATTATCATTGTTAGGATATATTTGCTAAATAATTTTAATTGGCACTAATATCTAATAAGATTAGAAATAATCCTATTCACCCCACTCTAAGGTAGTTTCAGCATTTACCATTACTATTTATGCTCCACCCCAACCCTCCCCCACCCTCCCCCCAAAAAAAACATGCCCCAAGAAAAGGAAAATAGGAGGTCTATGTTGGAAGGTGGTGAGCATGTTGGAAGGTGGTGAGCACTCTCTCACACTCACATGAACAAGATAAAATTAGAAGAGGAAATCACTAAGAGGATTTTTCTTTGATTCTTTATGACTTATCCAAACTTGTTGATTACATGAATGTTTATATTCCACAAAAGAATACTCTAGACTCAATGCAATTAACACAAAGACTTTTCATATCTAATACATGCATGCATATATAATAACTAAGTTGATGAATCTTGGTTTTCGGGTGAACTGAATAGTTTTCACTTAAATACAAATAACACTGATGCGAAACGATGATAAGGGGTCTGTCGGAATCAGCGATCTAAATCTAATAACGCACTATTTCTCCAAAAATGATGATCTTCGACAGGAAATTAAATTCAAAACGATTAATGTGACGGATGGATTTTAATAAGATTTAATAATCATGAACAATTCCAATCTCAAACAATATAATCGTTGTATTCATTATCATTTCGCAAGTTCTAAAATCAATATCAGATCTGCAACAGTCACATGTTCAGTTGCTCTCTACTCACAAGTATAATATCAGCAGTGAATATAAGATAAGAGTTTAGAGATGGTATACTCACGTAATTAACTAACAAAATGAAATTATCAGAAAGTTAAGGGACGAAAGAAAACGAAACATTCGCCAGTCTGAACAGACTCGACGTGAGAGACCTCTGGAGGTGGTACGACAACAACGATGAACTGAAGATGATGACGAGGTAGAGATCCGATGACGACGAGTGCGACAGTGTTAAAAAATAAGGCGGGCATCGGCGAACTGGATGACGACGTGTGCGACGACGTCGAATTGGGCTATCAAGTGGCGACGGGTCGATGGGTGAACTGGCGATGACAAACGGTATCGACTGAACGATGACCATGGCGTGTGAACTGCCGACGACGAGGGCGACGATGAGGACGATGGTGTCGACTAGATGACGACACAGACGATGGCGTAAACGGGAAGATGATGACGGCGGTGACGTCGAACTAAACAGTGACGCGATTGATGATGTTGAGATGGTACATGATGAAAGCGGTGAGGACACGGGTAGCCTGTCGGGTCGAGACTGGTGGTAGGTGTCGGGATGAGGTCGGCGACGGCATTAGGATGCTTGGGAGTAGAGAGTAGAGATTCCGAGGGATGCTCAGAGTAGGAGCGGTGGCTGGTTGAGAGGGATGAAGAGGAGTTGAGAGCTGGGTTTGGAAATTGTTGACGTGGGAGAAAGAAGAAATTTGGCGGTTGTGTATGCGGAGAAAGAAGGGTTGTCGGCTATTTGTGGTAGAGGAGAACAATTTGGCCAAGGGTTTCACACCCGAGGCCTAGGGTTTCACACCTAAAGCTTCACACCAAAATTTTGCTAACAAATATTTCTTCATTCAATAATTCATTGCCTTTCAATAGTCTCATACAACCTTATTTATAAAGAAAAACTACGTGCACACAACGTGCAATAAAAAATAGAAACAAAACAACAATCCCTCAAATCACTTAACTAAATTTTAAAATTCAAAATTTAAAATACAAAATACAAATTTCAAATTTCAAATTTCAAATTTCAAATTTCAAATTTCAAAAAAGAAAAGAAAAGAAAGTTAACTAATCAAATATGAAAATTGTCATTTCTTGTCCTCATCAAATTTCAAATTTCAAAAATCAAAAATAAAAGAAAGTTAACTAATCAAATATGAAAATTGTCATTTCTTGTCCTCATCAAATTTCAAATTTCAAAAATCAAAAATAAAAGAAAGTTAACTAATCAAATATGAAAATTGCCATTTATTGTCCTCATTAAACACTCTCTAGAAAAATCCAAATCATAAACAATTTACTTTTCTAGAAACTAGACAGATAGATCTTTCCAATGAGTCCTTAACTCCTTATTCACTTAATTTGGTAAAGAATAACATTGTCAAAAATCTCCTTGAATTTTCTGTTCAGTCACAGATAGAAACTACAAGTTTAGTATCCAACAGTCCCCTGTAAGCTTGAACGTTTCTGAACTCCAAGAATATATCCCAGCCTTTGGAAACTATCGTACTGGAGAGGCTTTGTGAAAATATCAATAACTTGATCCATAGTCTTCACATACTCCACTTTGACTTCCTTCTTCGCAATGCACTCCAAATAAAGTGATATCTTGTATTGATATGCTTGCTTCAATCATGAAACACTAGATTCCTTGCTAAAGGTTGAGCTGACTTGTTATCTGCCATGATCTTGGTAGCGTCACCTTACTCTAAATGAAGTTCATTCAGCAATTTTCTAAGCCATATAGCATGACAAGCACAAGAGGTGGAAGTAACATACTTTGGACTCACAAGTTGAGAGTATGACTATGGGTTGCTTCTTGGGACTCCATGAAATAAGCATTGTTTCCCATATAGAACACCAAAACCAGTAGTTCTCTTTGCTGCCGTCATGTGTGATTCGATAGGATTTTCCATGAAGCGGCTTACAAGTCCAACCGCAAATAAAATATTAGGTATTGTGCAAGTTAAGTATCTTAAACTTCCAACAAGACTTTTGAATAAAGATGAATCAACTCTCTCTTGATCTCCTACAATTTTGGATAGCCTTGCTCCACATTCCATCGGGGTAGTCACAGGCTTGTAGTCGAGCATGTTAAACTTCTTGAGTACCTCCTTTGTATGTAATTCTCTGTTCAGTCACAGGCAAAAACTGCAAGTTTAGTATCCAACTGTATAATTAAGTACTTAGTTTCAATCTAATGCATACTGAAAAACATAAGAGCCAAATAAAATATTAAATCATGTCGAGATAGGAATTTTTCTGGCTAGAGATTTAACTGTTCTACGAATTAACACACGATCAAATAACATAACATCAGAGAAGATTTTTTAGAACAATTTAAACATGCATGATCATTAAACTATACTTCACCAAGCATTGGCAAATCGTAAATAAACCATAATTTTCTTCGGCAGCCAATGATATGAAGATAAGGTATCAAAAGCATTCTATATGATGCCTCACAAGTCACAACTAAATTTCACATGTTTCTTTAATGGCAACTCACAGTCACAATACTTCACGATACCTGAGCTAAACTGTTAAGGAAAGAGATATCCTTAAAACAAAAACAAAATATTGGGAATAGATACTTCACAGGTATACTAAACAAAGAAATTAGAAACAAATTAAAAGTTTTTCCGACTGAGGCAATATGGTTGAAGAGACTCACCTTGTTCTGTATGAAAGGACTATCAAACTTTATTCTTTTTCCTTAGAACCATTAATATCTGCCAAAATTTCATCCGGGGTAAAAGAATCAAAAAATCTCACCCACGGGTTCTATCTGTCAAGATGAAACTACAGGGATAATAAGTTCAAAACAGCAGTGATATAAATACTCTATATCACTCAATGGCTCACTCCATGGTTATTTTAAAGGTGAGAGAGGATTAAGGCAATGCGATCCTCTCTCTCCTTATCTTTTTATTTTGGGCATGGAGTATCTATCAAGGAGATTAAATCAGTTACAGAATGATAGATTATTCAGATATCATCCAAAGTGCAAAAATCTCAAAATAACTCATCTTATTTTTGCGGATGATTTATTACTTTTTGCCAAAGGTGACTTATACTCAGTTCAGAGGCTTTATCAGTGTTTCAAGGACTTCAGTGCCACCATAGGATTGGAAGCAAATTTGAACAAATGTTCTATATATTTTGGTGGTGTGCAGGATTCTGTTAAATCAGATATAAACAATTTCCTGGGGTTTATTCAAGGTGCAATCTCATTCAGATATCTGGGAGTTCCCCTCATTTGCAAAAGACTTTCATATGTTGATTGCAGTCCTCTTATTGATTCTATATCAAACCAATTTCAGAAATGTTTAAAACATAAGAACCTCTCTTATGCAGGAAGATTGCAGGTCATTAAAAGTGTGATTTTAGGGATTCAAAATTACTGGACTTCAAATTTTATTCTCCCCGTAAAAATCACAATGAAGATGGATGAGTTGTGTAGGAAGTTCTTATGGGGTAAGACTGAAAATTCTTTTAAAGTTCCGTTGGTCTCATGGGACAAAGTCTGTTATGATAAAAAATATGGAGGATTGGGGGTGTTTTCTGCCTCTATATGGAATCTTGCTTCAGCTCTGAGAAGCCTTTGGTATATTCATGTGAATAAGGAGATATTATGGATAAAATGGATCCATGGCAATTATCTAAAGCACTTGGATATTTGGCAGGTTAGTGTAAGAACTGGGGATTCATGGATGTGGAAGCAGTTGATTAGAGTCAGGGACAAAGCTGTAAGTGCTTGCGGTGGGGTTGAAAATTTGAAGAAAATTCTTAATTCTTGTTATAAGAATTCAAAAATCCAGATATCTGCTGTGTATGCTGTTTTCTCTCCAACGTCTCAACGAGTGCCCTGGTTCAATATAGTATGGGGGAAGTTGAACTACCCGAAACACTCTTTTGTGTTTTGGCTTGCTGTGCAGAACAGATTACTCACACAGGACAGATTATTGAGGAGAGGAGTTATTAATGCAAATAATTGTTATCTGTGTGCAGGTGCTGCTCTTGAGAGCCATAATCACTTATTTTTTGATTGTTCCTTCTCAAAGGAAGTGTGGTTAGCGATCATGGATTGGCTCAAATTTGATTGGCAAGCTTGTGACTGTAATTCTCTTATGTGCTGGTATAATACAAGATTGAGAGGTAAAGGTTTTAAACAGAATATGAAGAGAATGGCTATATCGGCTACAATTTACAATGTTTGGAGAGAGAGGAATACCAGGTTTTTTCAGCAGAAGTGTAGATCATCTATGCAATTGGTTAGGGATATCAAAATTGATATCTTAACCATTTGCCTGAATAATCCCGAGCTTGCTGATAACAGTGAATGGCTCTTATCTTTGTAAATGCTTGACTAGGAATTCTTTTGTTGTTAGTTTCTCTTAGTAGAGATCTTGATGTACTAATCATTTTCATATTTGGTTTAATGAATAACGCTTTTTCATTGACAAAAAAAAAAGTTCAAAACAGCAGTGGCACATGAGCCTAATATTAGGATAAATAGAGGTTAGTTAACACAAACGTTTCTTCCATCATTTTGGTGAGGGTAAATGCAAAGGATGGTGTAAAAGTTACCGCACGTAGGAAAAATGCAAAGTGCCATGGCTTTTGTTACTGAAGATGGCCAATATCTGTAATTTGCCAATGTGATGTGGTTTGAAACAATTATCGGTCATAAATAAGATGCTAGATATTGCATGAAATCTTTTAGCGAATCTACCAAGGATATGCTGGATATTAAGAAAATATAGCCGAAGATATGTTCAAAAATTAGAGTGAAGTATAATAAATAGCCAACTTGTGAGTTTAGCCTTCTCTATTCTATTTACACATATCTAATTGAAGGGTAATGGAGCCTAGGAAAATACTCATATGTTTTCTCTTGTTGGTTCTCCTCATCATGGCTTCAGGTCTCACTCTATCTCTCGCTCTAAAATATAGTCATTATTCCCAGGGGCCGGGGGGAAAACAGAAATATAGAAGAAAATTAATTATATACTACCACTTGTTCTAATTAGGTACTCAAAGACAGTATACATGTGCTAAATTGAGCTTCATATGTCATTATCTCTTCAATCAATATATTTTGGCCAGGAAATATAATATAAACTATTTCTTTCTTCTTTTCTTTTTTCTTTTCTTTTTTTCTTTTTTTTTGATGTGTTTTTTTTCTAAATAGGAAAACTGTCTTCTGTTGAAGCATTATTCTGCCGCGACAGCCGCAAGTTCAGTGGAATGTGCACAGATAGTAGCAAATGTAACAAAGTATGCATCAAAGAGTACTTTGATTATGGGTATTGCAAATCATTTTGGTATGGCCTTCGCTGTATCTGCTGTGTGAATACTAAATAAAACTGATCTGGCTAGTTACTCCATGCCAAAAATAAGCAATTGAAATTGGGGAAGAGTTATGGATATTTTCTGGTCTTCTTTTTTTTTACCTTTATCAACTTTAGAAAAATGTTATACTTTATATATAACTGTTAAGTTGGTATTGAAGAGAACTTGTTGTATTATGATCAGATTTACAGAGTATATATACACAAATAGTAGCCCACACTATACACAAACGGTAGCTCACACTAGGAGGCGGCTGAGGCGGCTACACACTAGGGCGTCTAGGGCTAAAGCTCATGATATTATCTAACACCCCCCTTCAAACTCACAGTGGATCGAACACCGAGAGTTTGGACAAGAAATAGCGAAATGTAGAAATGGTTTGAGCCTTGGTAAACAAATCTGTCACTTGTTCCTTAGAGGAAACATATGAGAGTATAATGTTTCCAGCAACATGCTCCTATCGAACCACATGACAATCCATCTCAATATGTTTGGTACGTTCATGAAATATCAGATTTGTAGAAATGGAGATGACACTCTGATTATCACAGTATAAAGTGATAGGGGAAGTAACAAATACATCAGGATCTCGTAGAAGAGTGCGGAGCCATTTTAGCTGAACTGTGGTATCTGCCAACGCCCTGTACTCGGACTCTGTACTAAAACGAGAGACAATGGCTTGACGTTTACTATGCCAAGATGAGAGATGAACCCAGAAAAATACAAAAGCCAGTAGTTGAACATCGAGTGTCGGCATCATCAGCCCATCCAACATTAGAATATGCATGAAGAGACAAAGAAGAGTCTGGGGGGGGGGAATAATGATTTGGTTATAGTGCCACAGAGATATCAAAGTACCCGAATGAGAGTTGCATAGTGAATGGAAGTCGGACTACTAACAAACTGACTCAAGATGTGTATTGCATAGGCGATATCTGGACATGTTGCTGAAAGATAAATCAATGCTCCGATAAGTTCCCGATATCTAGTAGGCTGAGATAAAGGATCGCCATTATCATGTCGAAGCTTCAAGTTAATCTTCGTCGGTGTGGAGAGAGGAGTGGTAGCAATGGAAGGATCACTAAGAGTAGCACGCTCAAGAATGTCTGCAATATTCTTCTGCTGAGAGAGAAGATTGCCATGAGAGGAGGAAGTAATCTCAATACCCAAGAAGTAACGAAGGGATCTAAGATCCTTCATCTGAAATTGTCTCTGAAAATGTTGCTTTAAGGAAGTAATGGCAGAGGAATCACTCTCAGTGATTATCATGTCATCAACATAAAGTAATAGAATGACTGTACCGGAGGCTGAGGACCGATAAAATAGAGCGTAGTCAGGTAGGCTTTCAATGAAACCAATAGAAAGAAGAGATTGTCGAAAATGCTCAAACCAAGCCCGAGGAGCCTATTTGAGACCATATATAGCACGACGAAGGCAACATGCTTGTCCCGGAGGAGCAAGAAAGCCAGGAGGTGTCTGCATGTATATTGTCTCAGACAGATCGCTATTAAGAAAAGTATTTTTAACATCCATTTGATACAAATGCCAATGTTTTGCAGCTGCAACAACAATGAGAGTGCAAATGAATGTTATTTTTGCAACAGGAGCAAAAGTCTCTTCATAGTCATTACTATACTCTTGTGAGAATCCCCGAGCTACAAGACGAGCATTATACCACTCAATAGAATCGTCAGATCGAATCTTGACCTTATAGATCCATTTGCAGCTTACCAGTTTAACACCGGAAGGTAGCGAAACATGATCCCAAGTATTAGTCTGGCAAAAAGCCTCCAACTCTTCCGTCATTGCTTGTTGCCATTCTGGATACTTAACTGCCTCAGAATATGAGTTAGGTTTATGTATAGAGCGAATAGCAATAAGAAAAGAGACAGACTCAGGAGAATATGTGCTGGTGACACATTGAGCATACTGAGCAGGGGGATGACATCTCGTGGAGGATTGCAGCGAGGGGGAGGAGTCACATTGGGAGAAGCTGGCACAGATGTAGAGGGCATCAGTAGGAGGAGGGGATGTAGTAGGCGGATGTTCAAGAGGTGTGGATGAATCAATAGCACTATCATTTGATGCCATTGGAGTGAAGGAGGGAGTCGGTTGAGCAGACGAATGTACATGTGCCAGTGATACAGGTATAGTAGTGGAAGGTAATGAAGGGGTTGAAGAAAAGAGGGATCTGAATCTAAAGTAGTATAATAGGAAATATTCTCAAAGAAGATCACATGACGGGCAATACGAAGCCTTCGAGTGGTAGGTTCATAACAACGATACCCCTTGTGAACGGTGCTATAGCCAAGAAAGATACATCATGCAGTGCGTGGAGATAGTTTATCTCGTTCATGAGTTGGAAGCAGGACAAAACAGATACATCCAAAAGTACAAAGAAGAGAATAGCGATACTGAGACTTGAAAAGTTAAAAATGTGAAGAGGTGTCAGCTAATACAGAAGATGGGGTAATATTAATAAGATAAACAGCAGTCAGAAGTGCTTCTGCCCAGAGATATCACGGTAAAGATGCTGATATCAGAAGAGCTCTAGTGGTGTCGAGAATATGACGATGTTTTATCTCAACAACACCATTTTGTTCATGAGTGTGTGGACAAGACTGCTGAGAGAGAGTGCCATGTGATTTTAAAATAGATTGTATTATCGAAGAGATATATTCACAGGCACCATCAGAGCGAAATATTTTTATATGTTTATGAAACTGGGTGTGAATCATATTTGTAAAGTCTTTATAAATATTTAAAATATCAGAATGAGCACGCATGAGATATACCCAGGTGTAGTGAGAATAGTCATCAATAAAACTGACATAATATCGATAATCGGACAATGATGGTAATAGGGTAGGTCCCTAGATATCAGAATGAATAAAATCAAATGGGGCTAAAGCAATTTTATTACTGGATGAAAATGGTAGGGCAATTTGTTTGGCTAATTGGCACCTAGTACAGTTTGATAAAGTAGAAAATTTTAAATTTACTAATACTCCTGATTCAAATAAAAGTTTTAAGTGAGAACTAGAGATATGACCTAAGCGATGGTGCCACAGATAAAAAACAGAGAGCCCATAACAAATGTTGGATGGAGTTGAAAGATGTAGAGACTTTAACTGAAAAAGTCCATTAGTTCTACGACCTGTCTCAATCTTCTAGCCAGTGTGATCGTGGACAACACAAGATTTAGCATTAAATAAGATAGTGCAACCAGAATCTGCAATTCTCCCAATGGAAAAAAGTTGCATAAATAATTTAGGAATATAAAGAACATATGATAATGTTAGACGACCAGAACTATCAGAACTTGGAGTAATATCACCTAAATGAGAGACTGCAAGGGGAGTGTCCTTACAGTATAAATGCATAATAAAGAGTGACCAGGTGAACAATTTGTAAGAACATAGTTATCAAAGGACATATGATGAGATGTACCTGGGTCAAATATTCAAAGAGTAGAAGTACCAAAATGAGTAGACAAGGTAATAAAATATGAGCTGGAAGCAGCACCACTAAGCCCAAGATTCTTGGTTATTAATGCGGTAATCTCTGACAGCTGTTTAGAAGGGAGAGGGTTAGAAGTTTGCGGTCCTTGAAGAGCAGGTCTAACATCAGCCAAAGCAGCAAATGGAGGTCGAGTCTTCTCGAGTGTCGGATGAGGTGGTCTCTTATGACATTTATCAATAAGATGACCTGACTTCTTACAATATCAACATTAGAGTTGCCGAGAGGGATAAGATGTACTGTTAGAAGGACCCCGATAGGAAGAGAACTGCTAAGGAATAGCTAGAACAGTATGTGATGAGGGTAATGGCTGAGATACAATAACTAGAGGAGAGAGCATCTGAAGGTGCGTCTCTTCAGATATGAATTCGCCACGGCTTCACAGAGACTGGGGAGAGGATTGCGATGAAGAATGTGTCCATGTAAGCTTTCAAACTCAAAGAGAAGGCACATGGCAAAATGATATAACTGTTGACGATCACGTTGT